TTGCAAAACCAAGTCAAACATCATCAAATAAACCAAGAAAAAAGTAATTTATTTTAATTAAATTAATAAAATACAGAAAGAAATTGAACAGTGTTTCATTATTATGATGACGCAATTATTTCGAATTGTTCTATTTACTTTACTCTGCGGTAAGATAATTCATCCTAGATAGATATGCGTGTAGTTTTCCGTAATAATTATTTTTTAATTATTTTTTAATTATAAAATTCAAACGTAAAGAAGAATAATTCTGTTTTTTAAATAAATAAAATTAATTAGCTAATATATGTACATAAAAATTATAATGCAATAAGAAATGTATCAAATTTGAAAATATAATTGCATAAAATTTAAAGAGAAGAATAATATATTCAAAATGTAAATTATATTACAATTGTGTAAAATATGCCAAGAGACGTAAAAATATGTGTAAATGAAGTTATACATATCGTCACAATTTTAATGTATGTAATAATAAACGGATATGTGAAATTAGCACCCCAACTATAGTACTCAGGAGTTCTGATTAGAGTTCCCGTTTTCTTTTGCCGAGACAAAGTTCCCTTTTGACGAGACAAAGAGTTCTATATAATTTATAACAAGAGTTCCGCTTAATAATTATTTTTAAATAATTTTTAAAAAATGGAGTGCTAACTTCTCATCGAAAATCGAGATCGAATAGTTCTGAGTGGCCCAATAGCTTCATTTCGTGAATACCTAGAATTCCTGATGCATAAAAAAAATTTTGAAAAATAAAAAATTAAAAATTTTTGAAAAATCAATTTTTAGATACAATAGTTCTGATTAGAGTTCCTGCTTCCTTTTAACGAGATTTTTCTAAAAAATTTTTAAAAAATTATTTAAAAATTTTTATTAAATGAATCTTGCATTAAAAAATATAGAGAACTCTTCGTCTCGTTAAAAGGAAGCAGGAACTCTAATCAGAACTATTGTATCTAAAAATTGATTTTTCAAAAATTTTTAATTTTTTTTTTATTTTTCAAAATTTTTTTTTATGCTTCAGGAACTCTAGGTATTCACGAAATGAAGCTATTGAGCCACTCAGAACTATTCGATCTCGATTAAGATGAGAAGTTAGCACCCCATTTTTTAAAAATTATTTAAAAATAATTATTAAGCGGAACTTCTGTTATAAATTATATAGAACTCTTTGTCTCGTCAAAAGGAAACGAGAACTCTAATCAGAACTCTTAGTAGAGTAACATAGTTGGGGTGCTAACTTCACATCCATAAAATAAACAGTAAATTGTTATTTTAATTTATTTTCTACAATTATAATTTAACATAGAAATATACGAAAAATTAATATAATAAACTTTATTATCAATAATTTTAGTTTAACGATAATTTAATTCATTAACAAACCTAATTCATAATAAATTTTCATTTCTAATATTAGTAATTCCTTAATAATAAATATTAATTATTAATAAAATTAAACTAATACTACTTAAGATAATTATTTAATAATTATAAATATTTTTCTAGATATTATAAAAGGAAATGTTACACTAATATTACAAAATAATAGTGATGTTAAGTATGAAAAATTAAAAAATTTAACGATTCTATCAGACGAGTCAAAATTAATAAATAAAATTTTGATCATGATGAGCACTTCCGTCGTTGTTATGCCAATCTCGTGTAATTAAATTATTTAATAATAGTAATTTAATAATAGTAATGATTTCAAGTGTTTGGTAAGTCCAATTATCTGAATATAACATTTATAATTATATGTATATACATATATATGTATATATGTATATAGAAGACGTATAAAAGAATCAATATCTTATTTGGAGAGATGGATAAATTGATATCATTTTATTTCCAACTTTTCATTTCTGCATTTAATCAAATGAATAACATTTTAATGAGTATGTTAATTATTACACTTAATTTTTCTTTTCTAACATTTCATCTTTGAATGGTCCTGTCATCTGTTGTAATCATATTGTAATGAAGTTACATGTAAATTCAGAATGAGCAGCCTGTATGTCCTATCTCAGAACTTCAATTAATCATCAATGGTAATGGTCATAAATTAATTATGTACATCTTGAATTTCGCATTATTATGTGTTAATGATATAGCCAGCACAAAATTGATGATGGAACCAATTAAATAATATAATAATTACAGTCTCACAATTAATGTAATTAAAAATTATTTCTGTAATAATAAATTATTACAATCAATACATCTATGTTGATCCTATATAATTTTGATACACTTGTAAAAAAAATCTAACAAGTACGTTTTGTGAAATAATAACCGAATGCATACGATATTCAAAATTTTTTAGTTATCACGATTTTGAAACAGCGGAAATAATATATAAACATTTCTTATACTTAATTAACAATTAAAACGCAGAAGAATAAATGATTATAGAGATCGCCGTTGTAATAAATGCGCTTAAATTTATTAAATTCGATTGAATATTTAAGCATATACTGCAACTTTTTGAAATATGCACTGATGATAGTCAAAATTGGCCGAAACGCACGTGGTTCTTCTTGATACAATTGTTTTTAACGTGTTTCAATTTATGAATTGATAAATTTATATCTTTCATAAACATTTGATTCAATATTTAATTTAATATATAAATTTAAGCACTCTTATTACAACGCAAACTCTAAAACGTTTGATATTCTTCTCAATTTAATTATAAATTCATTCTTCTTTTTTCTTTCTCTCTCTCTCTCTCTCTCTCTTTCTCTCTTTCAACTAAAAATATTATTAAATTTTAACTTACTAATTTTAAAGATCTATATTACTCTCCTGGTAATAATAAATATTTACAACAAAGAAAATTCACTATGCTTACGAATATTGACTAATGATGATATTAGTAAATGTGCAGTTTAATTACACCTCATCAATGTATATTGCCCTTTAGATATATTATAAGAGACAGGATTCTAAGTAATTCCTTAAATAAAAATTAAGTGGAAGATATTAGAAATATATTAAAAAATATATTATGAGCAGTTATTATTAAATTTGTATGTTTAAAAACCTGTATATGTGAAACAAATAATCATATAACAGATTTTTCGTTTTGCCCCATAAGCAGGAACAAAATGGGGTAGACATCGCATAGAAAGATATAAACCTATACAAGTTTTTATTTGTGAAATTTCAATCTATTATATCTTTCCTAAAGCAGTGTTATCTCTTATTTAATTTTTATAGGAATTACACAGGACATTGTGTAATTCTCCTATAACATATCTAGGGATAGTAAAATCGGTGAAGTTTAACTGAAAATACAGCTTAAATTATATTTATCTTGTGACAATTATTTGTTTTAATTTAATTTTGTTCAATCTTTTTCAGATTTGCCTCTATCATTTGATATAAAATAAAAAGAATTGGACAAATTCTTTTTATTTATTTAAACATTATGCTGTTATTCTTGATTCCAATATCTAAGATAATCAGGCAAATTGTTTCGTTTTTTATTACGACTGATAAAGTAAATAAAAAAAAAGTTTATTTATCATCTTCCATCAACTTAAATTTTCTGAAAAAAAATTATACATTATGGTGCAATCCCGGACAATTGTAATTGTACTTGCGATTTCAATTTTTAGTAAGATAATTAATATTACTCTATATCTATAAATACACACATCTACACACACACACACATACGCACATATATTGTGTAACAATATAGACAATATATACATAACTAATTAGCCCTTCGTTCGAATTCCCGTTTTGCGTGCGAAGCACCGCTAGCGTGTGGATGAGTTGAGTGCTATAGCCAATACTTGATAACAACAGTGCTTTGTTTATATCCAGTTTATATCCACATGCAGTGGTCTGTGCACGAAACAGGAACTTGAATAAACGATCGGGTCCTAATTGTAATATTATATAGGACGCAACTATATCATCTTACTTTTTAAGATGGAACATCACTGTGACAGGTCAAAAAATCGATTTTTTTGTATTTTTGTAATTGGAGTCTTAAAAATATGTCCCTAAAATATTATATTGAAATTCATAACGAAACTATAGTAAATATGTAATGGAGCAGCACGTAGTCAGATGCATAAACTAATCGTTGTAAAACTTTAAACATATCTTGACTAACTAGATCTCTATCCCAGCAGAAGATACTTTTTTTGTAGCCTGTGTAATTAAATGTGGTTAATGTAATTATACTTACCTAAATGCGTAAAATATAATATTTGAGTGTCATAAGCTATTTTATAGCTACATATTAATATCGTTAATATGAATTAAAATATGTATTATTTATATTATTAATGTAATTATTTTATCAACAACTAATTGCTAATCAACCTTAACGTATTATTTTTAGCAAGAAAAAATATTTTTGTAATGTATAAATAAATTATTGATATAAGACTCAAGAAATTCGTCAATGCTTATATATATATTACAGTTTGTTACAGAAGTATAGTTGAGGTACATAAAAGTAATACATAAAAGTAATAATAAAAATGTGAGAAGATTTAACATTTTGTTACAATGCACATTATAATCAGATTACATTATTTGATATATAATGAATTAATTTTAAATAAAGAATAAAAATAATTATTAATTATTATAATTCGCTAATTATTTTTTAATTTAACGTTTAACTTGTTATTTAAATATTTAAGTTAACTTATGAAAAAAAATCAACTTAAAAATTAACTTAATAAATTAATCCTAGAAATTAATCCAATTATATTGCGTTAAAAAGGGATGTAAGATTTACTTACACATTTAAAAAATAAAAATTATTAATTAAAATCTACTTACTAAATTAATTTTACTGATTGAAAACTTCTTCAAATTTTTCATAGAATTTAGCAAAATTTTGAAAAAAATTATTAAAATACTTTTTTAATTAGTAAAAAATATAATTATGTTTATAAAAGACGACAACCTTTTTTTATGATATTAAATGAAATTATCGAATCGCATTAATTCAGATAGTTCAGGCTTATAAAATTGTTTTCGATTAATTGGTTATTACAGCATTTACTGGTCATTACGGATTTGAAACAATTTATAATAGTAATATGGTCATAATTAATCATCGTCCTGAGACCCATTAGGCATATACTGTAAAGAAGATTGTTGACAACATTAATGTATATATAAAAAAAAAGGAATATTCCTAATATTCTATATTTTCGTATATTACTCCTTGTATATTTTACTCACGTTATGTATTACATGTGTGTACTAGTTTCTTCTAGTTCTGGATTAATATAGACAAGATCCATTTCGTTTGGTACTACTCTAACAGGTATTTCAAATATATCATTACGAAGAAAAACACGAAAAAACCAAGAAATAAAATGGTACCATAGGCGTCTGAGCGGAGTGTAGAGTCTTCGTATAAAAAAATATGTTCTACATCAAATAAAAAATAATTTTAATTATTTTTATAAAAAATCTGTAACATTGTGAATAGATTACTTAAGATAACGATAATATATAAATATGCAGAAATTGTGAAAAAAACGAAGTCTATTAGTAGTGATGTTTCTGTATAATTAATTAGAAAAGATTGACGAAAATAGAACTTCTATAACAAAATCTTCTATTTATTTTATTAACAGGAAATATCAATTTTTGCTATTTTTTTCGGAAAACACATTTTACTAATAATATAGTATAGACTTAATTTATAAAAATATAGAATTTTGTCAACTGTGATAAATTCCACATTTTCTTATGTGCAATTATACATTTTCTTTATATGAATTAATTTATTGCGAGGAAAAAAAGAAGAGAAAGAGAGAGAGAGAGAGAGAGAGAGAGAGAGAGAGAGAGAGAGAGAGAGAAAGGAAGGAGAGGTGAGTAATTTACAGGGTGATTTTAACATATTTCGTCACCCATCATGAGCAGGTAGAGTGAATCGAACTGAATCAAAAAGTCATCTAGCATTTTGCAATTTATGCAATAGTTAACGTGATATTAATTACTAAAAATTGTCAAATATTGGTCTTGAATAATTTTTTACTCAAATACTATCAACTTTATAGAAAAACTACAAGAGACGAAAATCATTTATTTTCTTCTCATAGAACTCTAAAAATTTTTTCAGAATTTTTTATCAACTTTTTAGTACTGCATTTTCTTATTTTTCAACATAGAAAATACAGTATTAAAAAATTCTCAGAAGACTTTATGAGAACAACAAACTTTATGAGAAGAAAATAAATGATTTTTGTCTCTTGCGGCTTTTTTATAAAGTTGACAGTATTTGAGTAAAAAATTATTCAAGACCATTTGGTAATTTTTAGTAATTAATAATATTTTGTTAACTATGCGAAAATTGCAAAATGGTAGAGGACTTTTCGACTCAATTCGATTCACTCTACCTGCTCATGATGGGTAACGAAATATGTTAAAATCACCCTGTATAATTATAATCTTTGTCTTTGGGACTGATATATGTTACTTATTTTAAAATGTATTTATTGTACCTATATAGTACAAATGATAATTTCTATAAATAATTATAATAACAAAATCTTGAATTTAATAAATGCTACTGACATTATTCTAATCTTTAACTTTACAATTCTTTTTTACAATTATTAATGTTATTTATTTTCTAAAGTTACAAAAATTCAATTATACAATCGAATACAACGTTGTTATTAATACGTTATTTTTACTCGTTATGGAACGAATAAAGAAACAAGTTATTTTATTCAATAAAAGACATGTGAACAAGTTATTTTTATAAATGACTGTTCCAATCATAGCGTCATTATTGTTATAAAAAATTATAATGTCATTACCAAATTGTAATCATAAAAGGTAACGGAAACGGTAATGACATTATGGTAAACGAGTTACTTGCTATCCCAGGATTTAATATTATACATATACATATAAATCGAATACGGTGTTACAAGAGAATATTTGACTTACTTGCAAATACAAAATAATAACATTATAAAGAGTAACATGTAAATGTTAAGAAGTAATACGAAAATCATGCCATTGATGTTATCTGTGTCAAAGTGCAAAATTTTTGCTACACTGATCTCGTCTTCTTGATTTGTATCATTCGTTAATACTGACATCATATTTTTTGTTATTACATCTAAAATAATATTTATATTTCATCATTAGTAATGTCTACTCCCTACATTATTAGATTTTTTAGTAATAAATATACATATATTTATCACTGCAGTGTTTTTAATATCTTTTTAGAAATAATTTATTATCTAAGTAAAAATTTCTTAATAAATTATCAGTAAATCAATTTTCTGGCAATAAAACTTACTGTATAAATATTTTAATTATTACAGTAATTAAAAATTAAATAAAATAATTTTAATTATTAAATAATTAAAAATTAAAGTAAATAAACAGTTCAACTTGTGTACATATCTATTGTTATAAATTGTATATGTAAATTTTTGATTAAATTATAATAAGAATAACTGCACAATTCTAAGTGTTATGTTACTTTTATTCTGTTTGATTTATTTTATAGATATTTTATAGATAATTTTATATAGAGATGCACCGAATCGTAAAATTATCGGATATTGGATGTGGGACACCAGAACATTCTTTTCAGATATCCAGTATCCGGTCGGATATTCGGTAGGATAATTATCCCACCAGATATCAGACACTTCCCTGGATATCCGATCGAATATCTGCAACAAGGTTCCCAAAAGAAGAATAAAAGAAAAATAGCGATAATAATTTTCTTTACTTTTCCAGCGTAAAAAGTTTAGCTGAAAAGAATAAGATTCTGCATTAATAACGCAAATTTTTAATATAAAATTTCAACCGGATATTTTATTGATAACCGGATAGTGATATCCGACTATCTAACCGGATAGTAAAAAATACCGGATAATACTGGATATCGGATTCCCAAATATGCGGTGCATCTCTAATTTTATATATATATATATATATATATATATATAAAATATATACAATTATGCATTGTAGGTAATAAATTTTTAATTTTTGTAATTATATTTTTTCTATTATAAAGTCTATTTCTGGCGATATTATGCAATATATGAATATTACAAATACATAGAGAGAGAGAGAGAGCTGTATATTAGATTAAATATATATTTGTTGCAAAACAAATTATCTTACCAATGATTAAAATTATGCATATAATGATCCGTAATTGTCCCATAGCATGAGATTTAAGTTATATAACTTTTATTTCCTTTGTAAAATTTGAGAAGATTGCAATTCACTTTGTGTATAAAAATATGTATATCCTTGATTTATCACCTAAAATTAATAGCGTGGTTATTTTAGATATATCATTAAAAAGATATATAAAAAATTTAAAAATGAATTTCAATAAACAAAATGGATCAAAAGTTGAAACGAAAATATTAATTGTTTTATTATTTAATGAAGAGAGAGAAACAGAATTATTTGATATAAAATAGCATTATTTAATGTTTCATATACAATAAGTTTTCATTTAAAAAATGGATGTTTTTAAAGTAGGTAACTATTAACAAGAGTTTATGTAATAATTAAATGTGTGTACACACGCGCGCGCGCGCACACACACACACACACACACACACATCTTTATAGTTAATTAGGCGATTGCTATAAATTTTATTGATTGAAAATTTATAATAAAAATCTTCAAAAACAGTAGATGTTTTTCAGCTTTAAATTTAATTATAATGTAAACTTACTAAATATTCAGAAAAGTGAAGTTACTTTTTATTACATTAACTAAACATTTACAAATTTTTTTAAATATATTTTACTCAATGTATATATTTAGTCTACAATTACATTTTCTTTGATTCGCTTATGGTACAGCTCTCATTTCTAGTTGTTCCTGACGCAAAATATTGCAGCATCCTTGACAGGGAAAAAATTGAATTCTATCACAATAACTTCTGATGATAGCAGCGACTCGTCTTCCAGAAGAAAAAAAAATACACCTAATTAAATGTAATTTTTAGAATTAGTAATATTATTACAAATAATTAAGAATTCGTATTTATAACAAAATGAGATACCAAAGTTTTCTTAATTTATATCATTGTAAAGTGTTTTATCAGTTCATTAATTTTACCTTTAAATTTATTCGATAGTTAATAAAAGAAGTAGTTCTTAATGACGTAATATCTCTTTAAAAATAATAGACAAATCATTTATAAGAGTAATAAAGAAAAAAGTATATTGTTATAAAGATGACATATAATTACATTAAATATGTTATTTTTTTTTACAACTTATGATTAATTAAGGGTATGTAATAGAAATATAATATCATTTCGTTTTAAATTCAATATTTTTCTCTAAGTAAATCTATTTATAAAATTTTAGATTAAAAGGAAAACATAAAAAATTTTAATTACATAAAAACTACAATACATTGAAAAAATTCTATTTACCAGCAATAACATAATAAAATACAACACGTAACAAATGCTATGCTTATAACTCCTCCCATCCAATAAATTTCGTTCAATGGGTCGAGCCACTTTACTGTGACATCTGGGAAAGGATTCTTCAAAGTAGGAAAATTTGTTTTTATATCCTCCGTCATATTAACAATATCTGGTAATGATGACACAACTTCTGTTACAACATCTACAATTTAGAATTAATTACTATTGCTTTTTATTATTGATTATTATTAAGTGATATACAGTTACGTTTATTTCTAAGATATTTAACATAAGTATTTCTTATTTTAGAGAATTGTTAATTTTATTAGAAACGAGCATTTAGTGTTAAACAACTGAATTAATTACATGTATGTATGTAGAAAAAAATTTATGAATAAATAAAGTTTTATAATAAGAAAGTTGGACATATATATATATTATATATATATATATATATATATATATAAATATTTTAATTAATAAATTAAAATAGGAAGTATAGTGTACGTGCATACGTATGAGTAATAAAATGCAAAATAAGATAGATACATACATAAATTATTTTATATTTTTAATTTGATAATGATATAAATGTTATTTGTACGCTTAAAGTGTGTGATGCGAAATTGGTAATAAATAAATCGAATTTATCATATTATATATATAATAATATACCTATGTACATATGGAGATATTAATTATATCTTACTCAGAAAGAGAGAAATTGCGAGAATAATTGTTTGCAATTGTATAATGATTTGTTTAATATTTTTCTTCATAAAATTGAAGTTGATATGAAGGAAGATAAATAAACTTCTCTTGATTTACTCAGTAATCACAAAAAATTATGATTATTTTTGAATCGATAATAGCACTATAATGTGATGGATTATCCAATTGTTTATATTTTATACAAAATAGTAAAAATATAAAATCTAAAAAAAAATCTAAAAAAAAATAGAATAAAGTCAAATTAAGAAAACTAATTATTACAAGATGAAGAAGAGGCCAAAATTAGAATGTAATAAAAAATAAAAGAATTACAATTTGGATTGAAATAATATCATTAGTCATTGCTTTTGATATGTATAGTACATTGAATTCTTCGCAACACGCAGATGTTTATAATTACTAGAATTACTAGGAGAAAAATATTGATTTTTAGATTTAGAAAGTTAAAATTTAATAATAAACAGTTGAGAGAAAGAGAAAAGAAGAATATTTCCATTGTTTGATAAGATTATGAAAAAAATTTCAAATATTATACTAGGTCACATTTCGCAAAATGTACTTAGAATTTTTTATAAGAATATAAAAAATATATAATAAACATAAATATTTATTATATTAATTTATAATTATAGAAATAATTTTCACTTATATACATTCACGCAATTCAATTAATTGCAAGACTGATTTTTACATTGTCTAATTGGTTCCAAAATTATCAATTTTGTTCTGGCTATCATTATCACTATCATGATAACGCAAAATTATAACCACAAATATCGTGAGATTCAAGATGTATATAATTAAATTATTATTATAATCTATTAATCGATGAATTCTGAAAAGGACAAGACCAGTTTTCATTATTCTGATGAATTGGAATATCTATATGTAACTTTATTGGTTACAACGGATAACAATAAGACATTGTGAAATAAAGTAAACACGAGAAATATTGTACTGAGAGAAAGGATTTTGTTAATTTAACAAGCCATCAATACCTTTAACAAGTGATCTGTAAATATGTGTAAATATATGACAACAAATTGGTTTGTTAAGATTGCTGCTAGTCTGCTATACCAACCAATTATTAGTAACAGAAGCAAACTATATAGAATCTAACCTATCTTTTGGATAGACTTTAGGCTCGTTTACATAGAAATCGTAGATGATCGTGGAGTCTTAAGTCGTAAGAAACTGATCAAGCACAGTCAAAAATAGGGAGAATACTTGACTAGTATTGGTCAATTTTTTATTTGAGACTCTGCAATGACCTATGACTTATATATATGAGCCTCTTATTTGCTAGCAATGCTATTGATTATTTATTACATTGACGAATAAAAAATAATTAATTTGCAATTGTAATTTACAAATCAATCGTTTTTTAAACAAATATCACATTTGTTTTTTCTTGATTTGTTCTTATAACAAAATCATTTCTCTCTGTAAGTATAATAATTATAATTAACATATTAAAAGGTTATTCACATTTGATTACTCTCTAAATCTGTGAATAATTACTGATATCAGTGCCAAATATGCCATTGGTAATCAGTGAATTGAACATAAGATCCCTAACCTAGTTAATCTTTATTATGTGATCTAACTAACTTTGTTTTAGTGCTTAAATTCAATGAATATGGTATTGGAAAATTGAAATTAATGTGTAAATATAAGTAGTTTTAGTTATACAATGCTCAAACATTCTTCCTTTTTTAATTGAACTTCACTGATTATTGGCAAGTATGCCACTGAGTAATTAGTGATTATCCACTGATTCAGATTTAGAGAGTCAATACAAAAATGAGAATTTAAAAATAAAATAATATCAATTTATCCATCTTACCATATAAAGATATAATCGTTAGTTTGTTCGTCCTCTGCGCACAACGACAAGCGAGTAACAGATATTCGACTTATAAGAAATGAAAATTCCTGAGAGCTTATTAGTTGATTCGAGAGGCGCTGTTGTCGAAATGCTACGATAACGTGCATTCTTAGTAGTTCGTAGGACACAATATCACACTCTATTGTGTATATATATTTTCTTTTTCCAAAGATAATATAAAATTATGTAAAGATTTTAAATTCAAAACTTTTATTTTAACATATAAACATTTTTACGTTTCTGTATCCACTAAATTTTGTGCTTAAAATCATATCACCTCGAATTGTTTACTAAAAATATTAAATTTATTATTATTAATAAATTACGTTTGTTAAACTATCTAAGATTTCTATGTAAATTATTTACAAAAGTGTTTATTAACGAAATAGTTTTATTTAAACTATTAATAGATAAATTTTAAACTCTAAAATTACCTTATAAGTACAGTCTTTTAGAGTTAAAGTTTTAAAGATTTTTAAATACATAAATGCATTTAAAATACAATATAAATTGACTTTTAAGTTTTTAATTGTTTTAATTAAAATCTCTTAGAAATTCATTTTAAAAATATTGTAGGATTGATTAAATTTTTGAAATAGCACATACAATTTGACTTATATATGAATTAAAAAATTAAATGTATACTATTACTTTCTGCAGTTTTTCATATTGCTTTTCATAATCAAATCGATATCATTCCGCTGGAATGGACGTATAATTCAAACAAACATAAGTATGTACAAGTATCATACTATACACAATAAGATTGGAAACAAGACTGCTTATATTAAATAACATTACTTTAAATACGAAGCGCCACTACGCTCTGAATATTGAGATGTTGAACTAATATATATATTCATATAAATGAATTAATTTCAGAAATAATAATTGCGTGCCGATATGATTGTCGGACTTTCAACGCAATCAATCTGAAATATTAATAATCCCCTCAAATTTCCGAAATTAATCTTAAAAAACTGCAATAAATTTATTGCGAAAAATATTACCTCGGATATTATATTATAATACAATCATTATGAACCGTTATGTATATTAATTTCAGATAAGATAATATTTTTTTAAATAAGATTTATATTGTTATACAAAAAAATAATGCCTGATTTATTCTCCATCATTTATTTTCTTAATCATAAACTTTAATTATAAAAAATGATATCTACCTTTAATGAATATTAAATAAAAACGTAAAATTTAATTTATTAAAATATAAGATATGTGTGATTTAGAAAATCAAGGAATGTATCATGTTGAATATCAGAATGAATTGTTGGCGAACGGAAATAGCTATTGCTCTTCAATAAAAACGTATGTAAGTAGTTAAACATAATAAAATTTTATTTTTAATTTCCATTTTTTTTAGAAAGACGACGATACTAAAACTTGCGAGCGTTCAAAGTTAAAGAATTTTTCATACGGAAAAAATGACAGCTAATACAGTTTTATGTTATAGAAATTGTTATGTTATGTGGACTGTCATAGAATGGAGCAATCAACTATAAAGAATACATTTTCTTACGAAATAAATATTTATTACTCATTTATCACAGTGCAATACGAAATAAAAGACGTAGAAACAAATAAATATTATATTTGGTAAGGTGGATAAATCAATATTATCTATTCATTGATTTAATTAATTTACTTCTTTTAAATAATTTTTCTGTTAATATCATATTCTTTGACCTCCTTCTATGGAATTTATTCTTACGTAGGTAATTATATTTTGAATACGGATAGAATCTAAAATCTTAATAAAAATGTCGTTCAACGCGTTTTCGAGTCGGGATAATAGATATCTTAACCTCTAAAAGTCTCGAACTTTAACATTTAATAACTCATGAGGCCAACCGCCGTGTTTTTTGCCAGATTCTTTCGTTTTAAACATAAAAACGCGTCGAATACATACATTTTTATTAAGATTCTAGGGGAGAGGGACCCCGTATTTTAAATAATATATGATATCAAAATAATCAAACCATTAATTTCAAGCGATTCATTTAGTCTCGTGATATTAATTTCAACTGTATAAATCGAGAGCGAAACATAAATAGTTAAGCTTCCTGAAGAAGACAAAATTAAACAAGTTAAATCTCACATTATGATACAATTATTACACATCATTATCCTTTGTGACTTTAATTTAGTAGACATATTGCTTCGAATATAAAACACAATAAATTAATAATAATTATGCAGTTATTCTAAGTTAATTTAGTTTACTTATAGAGTCCATACGATAAAAAATTAATACACAAATATACATTAAGTTAATTATTTATTTTAGTTTTAATTAATAATATAAAATATTAAATAAATAAGTAACTACTAATAATTTACTAACTATGAACTTATATTATTATAATTTACAAAAATTTACATTATTAAAAAGTATTCTAAAATACAACAAATATTAATTATTCATAAACTCTCTTTCTGAATCTCTTATATCAAGTAGGCAATATTAATTATAAAATATTATTATTCTAGGTACTACAGCAAAAAATACTGTACCAGTGTTGACGAATGAGATAAATAAAGAACATGAATTCACTAAATTGAATAATATATTTCAGCAAGCTTATATACATGCTATAATATTTCTTCTAATCATTCATGTAATAATGTTTGGATGTCTACTTTTAATTTTTCATTACAAGTAAGTCAAATTCTCTCAACACATATAATTTTATGATTTTAAATGTATATTCAATTATATTTAATCAAATAATTTGTAACTACAAAGAAAAAATTCGCTGAGTTTAAATGTAGCCTGAAAATATCGAATTTCAAAAGAGTAACAGCCTTCATTAAAAGAGGAGGCTATCTAGTGTCTAGTGTCACAAGATTTATAATTAAAAGGAAATTAGTTTGAAAGTTAGAATTAACTGTTTGCATAGTACTGAGTTTCAAATAAAGCAAAACTTAATATTAATTCGCAATTAAAAAATTTCTAAAATCGAGTTTTATGTGTGATAATTAGAATATTTTTAAAATCTTTGTCCGTTATATCGAATTCACTATTCCAAATTTTTTATTAAATATCTGATATATATAATGTATATTATATATCAGATAATATTTTATGAACTGATTTTTCGATCTCAGATTCGAACAAAGCATTATCAGATTGTTTCATATTTCATAAAAATTTCATAAAAATCGAACGAACAGTTTTTACAAAGATGGAAAAAATAATTCTAAATGAAGACACCCACAAAGGGTTAAATAAGTAAAGCTTCAAAAAGATAAATTATAAGTAAATAAGTCTTTTCCTCTCTCCCCCCCTCTCTCTCTTTCACGCGATTATCAATTAATATAAAAAAATAGAAAAGTAGAGCAAACATTGTCTTGTATGTTCTATATAACTTTTTTTAATTAATTGTGTAAAAGTACTATTATATATTATTAATATTTGTGATATATTTCACAAAATATTATACGCTTTTATTATCATTGTCTTTGTTAATAATCATCATTTATAAAAATAAAAATTTTTATTAGGTGGAACTTTTATGGCCTAAAATGTATCAATGCTTACTTCAGATGTCTAGTATTTTATTCATCCTCGTATTTTTCATCATATTTTCAAAATACTTGTTAGAATAAAAGAAAAACCACTGCAAGAAATCTATCATGATCATGTGTGATAAAACTAAGAAGAAATATATAATGTGAATAAAATGCAGAGAATTAGTAGAAAGTATGAACCTACGATTACTCCGTATACAATAAATACTATATACATAACAGAAGAGTACAAATATAATCTTCGTACAGACTTTCCAAATTTAAAACTAGAAGAAAATCTAAAAAAATCCAGGGCGAACGAGAGTCAACGTGGCAGTCAGCAGACAAAGACATTTTAATCTTAAAACTTTATTCAAATAATCTAAATATTCTTTGAATGTTTGGACTCTTTGGAGTCCTCCTCAGTAATACAAGTTTTTCCTTTGCATGTTTAAAACAAAGTCACTATCAAATTTACATATTTGACATTGTACAATCTCAAACACAAAAAGAAGCCATCTTGAAATATTGGATCAAATAACGGATTAAATACTGGATTAATACAGTAAAATAATATTACAAATTGATTACAGATTAAACAATTCTTATAAATTACATTTTAATAATAATAAACTCGTCACAAACATGACGTCATTTTTCTTTTCACGTTTGGGATTGTACAATGTCAAATCTGTAAATTTGATGGTGATTTCGTTTTAAATAAAAAAGAAGAAACTTGTTGTTATTGTGTTGCAGAGGAGGACTCTAAAGCAAGTCAAAACGTTCAAAGATTATTTGGAATCTTGGTATAAAGTTTTAAGATTAAACTTTGCGTATTGACACGCTGATTCTCATTCTTGGATTTTTTAGATTCTTTTCTATAATAGTTTATTACATATATAATAAATACATATTGTAAACTACCAAAAGTGCTTTCCATTTTATATAAATTACTAATATTATCTATTTTTTACAGATGTCGCCGACAGAAGAGTTTGAAATCTAAATTTAATTTCTGAAAAGTATTGTTATTACGGATCACACGTAACATCTATGAAACATATATTTCTTGAAAATCAGTATAATATTGCTGTGTATAAAATGTATAAAATGTAAAATATATTATAAGCAGAGATGGTGAATTTTTTATTATATACAATTTGTTTACATAAAATTAGGGAATGGAAGTTCGCGTTACTCATAAAGACATTATTTTTTTATTGTTACTTTATTATAATAAAGATTTAGTAATAACACTATGAAATTTTTATGATAAAGATAACATCAAAATTGAAAACATCAATAGTTGTTCCTAGTTACGGATTGGAAAAATCACTCGTTACTGAAAAAAGTATTCGTTGTTTGTAACGAATTATTTTTATTCGTTATTTGTAACAAATAAAACATCGATTATTTGTAACGAATTATTTTTTTCAATATATAAAGCATAATGCTGGGCAATTAATTTTCAAAATAACTCCCAATTTAGT